AGGATGTTGATGTGTAAGGTGGATTGGTTCATGTAGATTGGTGGAGTGTTCATGTAGATGCGACCCCCCCCCCACCCAACTGTTTAGGGAGGCACTGATGGTTAGGATCACTGATGGTTGCAGGAAAGGAACTCTAACACAGATGTTGCTGAGCTGCATCCACCACAGAAATAAGTCCTTGACTCACCGCAGCATGGATAAAAGTTGGTGAATAGTGTGTTTGTGGGGTCAGTATACAGTACAGAGCTATGCTTGAGGACACAGCATGTGTAGTCTTGTGTGCCTGACCTCAAACAGGACCACGACCACATGGCCTACAACAGGGGTGGACAGCCTAACCCTGAGAAGGAGCCAGAATTTATCAATACACATTGCCAAAGAGCCACAGTTCTATGTCTCCAGCCCTGATATCTCCCCACCACCACTGTCAGCCCATCCCGTCCATCCCGTCCACCTCTTCCTCCCGCCCACTGTGATCATCTCTTTATCAGTGGGAGACACTGGAGGTGTGAAGCATGGGTGTGATAGACTCAGTGGAGAGAGCAGGAAGTGGCAGGATCCTAGGGGGAAAGGCTGGAGGGGGCAGTGCCTAAGGCAGAGCTGGGGGTTGAATAGTGACCACCCTTCAGCCCAGTGAAAAGTTGGCACCTTAGCTCCAGCCCTGGATTTGGTGCCTATGTAAGGAGCCGCATATTACTGGAGGGGGCAGTGCCTAAGGCAGAGCTGGGGGTTGAATAGTGACCACCCTTCAGCCCAGTGAAAAGTTGGCACCTTAGCTCCAGCCCTGGATTTGGTGCCTATGTAAGGAGCCGCATATTAACTTCTGAAGAGCTGCATGTGGCCTAGAGGGTAGAGGTAAATTCATGCACACATCTAGGGGCAGACACATGCAGCAGATACCAGATCCATTATAGCTGAGAACCTGGGAGATGGTAGAAAGGGTCTGGCTTGCATGGCATATAACTGCCCATCAATGAATTCTACCTGTGTACTGGCATTAGAGTGGACTTTTCTAGATTTACAAAGAGGCCGAGATTTGTGAACAGGTCCATTGTTACGTGGGTGGTTTGGAGAGAATCAATTTTGGATGGGTATCTTGAGGACACAGTCATCCGAGTATGGAAAAAATGATGATTGCTCTTCTCTTTAGTAGTTTACAACTATTGTGAGGATCTTGGAGGACTCCCAAGGTCCTGTGTGCACTGATAGTGGTCTATGTCTGTGGCAAAGCAGAGGAATCAGACATGGGCAGTATGACTAGAAATAAGAAAGCATGGCTGTGTCTAGACTGGCAAGTTTTTCTGCAAAAGCAATTGCTTTTGCGGAAAAATTTGCCAGCTGTCTACACTGGCCGCTTGAATTTCCGCAAGAACACTGACGATCTCATGTAAGAAATCAGTGCTTCTTGCAGAAATATTATGCTGCTCCTGTTCGGGCAAAAGTCCTTTTACGCAAAAGGGCCAGTGTAGACAGCTCAGATCGGGGCTTTGTTGCGCAAAAGCGCGTCTAGATTGGCTCGGACGCTTTTCCGCTAAAAGTGCTTTTGCAGAAAAGCGTCTGTGCCAATCTAGACGCTCTTTTCTGCAAATGCTTTTAACAGGAAACTTTTCCGTTAAAAGCATTTGTGGAAAATCATGCCAGTCTAAACTGTGTTTCGGAGATGGAGGGCAGAGCACCTCTCCTGCTTTTCCAGTGCTGGGATAATAGTGGAGAGAATATCCATCTTGAAACACTGCAGTTTGATGATTTTTTTTTTTTTAGATTGTAAAGATCTAAAACAGGATACCCATCTCTGGTCTTCTTCTGAATCAGAAAACAGTGGGAGAATATGTATTGGGAAGGGACCAGTTACAGAAGGGGATTTATTTCTCTCCATGGAATGGACTCATAAGAGGGGTCCTTCAGAAGGGTGAGGAAGGGGTGATGGTGGGACCAGGTAGGAAAAGGAAGAAGTATCTTTCATTGACTATCTGTAGAATTCACTTATCTGAGGCAATGAGACTCCAAGATGGGAAAAATGGAGCTAGTTGGTTGCCAGATTGTTGGAACATCAGAGATGATATGGGTGAATGGAACAAGGGAAGGCTTCTGGGGCCTTGACCATACTTTCAAAAATTGTTGCTTTGGTACCAGTACATGAGAGGTAGCCTCTTGAGAAGTGAGCAGTCTACATTTAGTTTGAGGCCTTTGTTATTAGGATTGGGTGTTGCAGTGCCATTGAAAGGCGTATTGCTGTTTGGGATTGCGGGGGTTGTTGATAATTCCCCAAGCATCTCTATGGTGCTTGTGAGCATATCCTGAGAAAATGAACTATAGCTTGGGAATCTTTAAGGCAATGCAAAGAGTTACATGTGCACTGAGCGAATTGTGACTTTCATAGGAAAGCCTGAGAAGTGGAACCATGATGTACGCCTCATCGCCATAACAGAAACGAGGGATGAAGCAGCAGTGTCTGCAGAGTCTAAAAAGGCTTATAGAGCTATACTGGCTAGGAACTGTCCCACTGAAATTAAGAACTGGAATTGCTGCTTTTTAGTTGCTGGGAGATCATGGCAAAGTTTCTCCCATTTGGACTTGTTCAAATAATTAGACTTGGCCATTAGAGTGTCATAATTTGAAACCCCAGTTTGGAGTGTTGCTGAAGACTAGGTTCAGGCATTTCCAGTCCCTATCTGGATAACTATATTAAGATTGGTACTGATGGCCCCTCTCTTGGCAGGCACCATCAAAGAATCTGAGATTAGGTGCAAAAATAAAAATTCAGTATCCTTTGCCAGAATATAATATTTTCTGTTGGCACATTTGCAGGTTGGAAAGATGGACACCGTGATATGTCACAGAACTTTGGCAGATTCAAGAAAAGCCTTGTTGATTGGTCGTGCAGTCTTTGAGGAAGAGGATGTGTGGAAGACCCCCAGCAGTTTGTATTGTTTGTTTTTAACTTCCTCCAAAGGGAAGTCTGCAATTCTTTGAATAAATCTTGGAAGTGCCTAAGTGTCTGAAGTCATCGGCAGATATAGGGGATGGAAGCATAATCACCCCATCAGGTGAAGAAAAGGAAAAATTAAAGTTGGGGGGAGCCTCCTGTTCCTCATGAATTGGTATCCCTGGTGGTTTGACTCCCTGAGGGTGAGACCCTGATGGAGGTCTTTGATATCTGAGATGGTTCCCAGATTGTGCCCTGTACTTGGCCCAAGAGTCCTGCTATGGTTAGCTTGGTGGGAGTGGCACATTGGGCTGCATCCACAGTGGTCCCTATCTTCATCTACAGTGGTCTGGGGGCCAGACGTAGTTTGCATATAGTGAAGATAAGCTGGTGCAAACTGTTCAGTCATCAATGGCCCAAGAGAGCCCTCGTTCTCCTTTGGCTCTTTCTCACTGGGGAATGGAGGTGCTGTCCTTGGCAGAGAGGAAAAGGAATGTCATGAATCCAAAGGGGAGGGCAGAAATGGGGGGAAGTCCCATCAAAGAAGCAGAGACTTGGGCGTGTCAGATACCAGAAGATCTTTGGGTTATCTGAAGTCTTGTGGATGGGGGAGAAAGCATCATTGGTGTCATTGTATCACATGGTGATGGAGAGAGAATATGTTCCTGAAGTTTCAGAAGACGGCACCAGAGATTTGGCTGGTGATAGTGACTTGCCCACTACCAAAGACTTATCTCATGTCGAAGATTTTGACGTTGATGAATCAATTGGTGCTGGTGACTTGGCTAGTGGAACAATTTTGATGGTGAAAAGGACTTAGTTGGTGCCAACAGCTTCATGGTTGCCAGAAATGGCATTGGTGCTGTAGTTCCTGCAAATGGGCCCAGAGCTGGAAAATGCCACTGAGGGTTGAAGGTGCCCGGATAAGGTGTTTAAATTGTTTATTTGTGTGAGTACTAGAGGTACCTGGATGAGCTCTGCAGCTATGGTTGAAGCCATAGACTTAGCCAGTGATAATGATCTGGAGGGCTGAGCTTCAGCGAGTGAGGAGGAAGATCATTTCATGTCATCTGCATGATCACAGAATGATTTTCTCTTTATAGGACAATGAGAGCGGGGATCAGCAGGCAATCTGGCAGAGCATTAACATCTCTCTGAGCAAGAGTCTGGACCTGGGTACGGTTCTGAATATAACAATTTTTCCATGAGGAAATGTTTCAGTCTAATGTGCCAATCCTTTCTGCTCTTGGCTCCAGGCTGGGGCAGTGAGAACACTTCTGAGGGATGCGTTGCGCTCCCAAACAATAGCTACACTGTGTGTGGAAGTCCCTTGTGCTACGTCTATACGGCACCCGTCTTCCGCAAAGGCTTATGCAAATGAAGCATGGAGTAGAATATCACTGCACTTCATTTGCATAATTAATTAGGAGCTGTTTTTGTGCAAGAGGCTTTTGCACAAAAAGGAGCTGTGTAGTCGGCTCCTTTTTGCACAAAAAACCCCTCTTGCGCAAGAGCTGTTCTTCCTCATTTTTTCAGTATAGACGTAGCTTTACTGAGAAGGTGGCCTCACATAAATGCACCTCTTAAACCTGGGAGAGCTTTGTGAAGGAGAAAAGGCTTCCCAGTTGGGAAGGGCAGGAAATGGGAGAAACGGAAACCTGAGCTGTGAGAATAGTTTTAAAGTTAAAACAAAAATAAATATTCTAGATAGGAAGAAGTAGAAGAGGAAAATACTAACTACACTATCAGTTAAAGCTCTCTCTGTGAGAGAACAGGAGCAACAGGCTCTGCTACTGGCTACTGGCTTCCGGACCAGACCAAAGGAAGAGAGAAGGAACTGGGGCAGTTGGACAAAACCCCAGCACTATACATGTATCCTGTGCACAGTGTGACAGATGCAAGGTGTGCATGTGCATTCCTATTGACCTGTCTGGTGAAGAACTCTGATCCCAGGTACAGGGAACACTGCTGCACCTACAATTGAGCACCCACGAGGATGTCATAATTAATCATAATGATGTCTTTAAATAATCATTAATAACTAATATCTATTGTAAGACAGGCTTCAACCCCATTCCACCTCACACTTCTTGTAAATGTTTAATGAACAACAATTGCATGGATGTCATCACATTTGCTTTAGCTTTGTAATACCAATTTGTGTGTTTGTGTTTTATCAAGGAAAGTTTCTCTCAAGGAAAAATAACTGACAAGTCAAATTTTTCTTGCCTTGAGGTTTGATATTCATCAGTCATGACTAGATAAAAATTGTCACAGTTTCTCCTCAAGAAGCCAAAAAGAAACTGTAACATTTTATAATGGTGTGAACCGTTCATCATCTGCTGTATAGACTCCGTTGATCCGGCCTGTTTTTAAATCTAGTATATCACAGGGAATTCCATTTTCTGTAGTCACTGGTGTGTCACATTTGTCTTCTAAATCTCCGTTCTCTGCAGACTCATTATTATTTCTAAAAAGGAATAACAAAATTACATTACTGCAATAAAAGTGCACTATTCAGCAAAGACTGGACATAATAAAGGAGTTTAGCATGCACTTTTATAAAGAAGTTCACAATACATTATACACAGAGAGGCATAGTCTAGTGGTCTGAAGGGAGACAGAAACTCTTGAGTGAATTCTAATATCACTTTATGATACTGGTTCCTTTCTGTTGCCTCAATTAACTTCTATACTTCAATTTCCTCTTCTGGAAAATGGCTTGGATATGGTGCAAAATAGAAAAGACAACAAAGAATAAAATATACACTCATATATTTAATAGACCTAAGGCTATAAGAGCCCACCATTTTCATGTAGTCTGACCAACTGCATAATTTAGGGCATAGATTTCACTCAGTGATTCCTGCATCTAGTCCAATAACTTGTGTTTGAACTAGAATAGTTCTTAGCATCCAGCTATGACTGAAAACCCAAATATTTGAAAATCTATGCACCACATCTCTTCGTAATCTGCTCCAATGGCAAGTTTCTTTCACCGTTCAAAACTTTTATCTTATGTGCACTTCAAACTTCTGATTTATGGTGACCTTGAGATCTGCTGATTCATAGTTGAACCTGCTGTACTTCACAAACTACAGCATCAGCAACTTAGAATGATAAAGAACTCACAGGTTCGCTACAGTATTTCTTCCAGTATTATAACACATTCTGACAATCTGACTCAGTACTTGTATATCAATAATATTAACAATAATAAAACTTTACTGGCCTGCAACAGATACTTGGACTTACAGACTTGCTAAAAATAAATGAGCATGAGCAATAAAATCCTCTCCTTGTGACTATGACAAGCTTTTAAAGGGAGAAGATGTCTCTACAGAACCACATCTTCTGGGGATCTCTCCTCTAATTTGGAAATGAGACAAGTCCGTTAGCAAAGAAGGAGATGACATGGTGATAGAGCTAGCACACTGGAAACCAAATTTATGAAGATTCCAACAGAGAGGAACTGGAAATTATAATAAGAGGACCAGAAGCTAGAATTGGATAGTTCTTGAAGGTTATATGAGAGTAGTAGAGCTTGAATGTTCTTCCCTAAGGGCTTGATCAAGACAAGCATCCTTATTTGGGACAACATTGAAGCATGAGCTTTATTTCAGTGATATTTAATAAGTCCTACATAAGTTAGACACATGCATATATGCTGTCCTGAACATGGATGGATTTAACACATGCTTATATGCTTTACTGAATCAGGGTCTTACATTGCTCACTCTGTAAGGGCCTGATCCAAAGCCCATTGAAGTAAAAAAGGGCTGGACTTTCAAACTTTCCACACCTATCCTGGAGACTAGGTTTTTAAAGTACTCAAAAGGAAGTAACTCCCAGTGTGACAGCTATGGCCTTTTTGTCAAAAGCACCCAACAACCTGAGCTCTTTTGAAAATCTGGTCCCAGGTATCTGTCTGGGTATGTCTACACTACCCCGCTAGTTCGAACTAGCGGGGTAGTGTAGACATACCCTTAGATATCAGGCTGAAGGGTAGTTAGTACAAGAGCTAGCTTTGCTCACTCGGGGTACGGTTAAACTACAAGTTTTTGTCGGAAAAAAGTATGCAAAATATGCTCTGCATTTGTGTACCTTTTTCCGATTCTTTTGTCGGAAGAGGCATCTACACTGGACCAAATGTCGGAAAAAAAGCCCCCTTCTTCCTCGTAGAACAAAGAATACAAGGGCTTCCGAAAGAGTGCATTTGCTTTTCTGCAAAAAAAGCAAAAGAACAAACGTGATCCCTGGACACAGCGGAGTTTTTTTGGGATACCAGAGGTATTCAAAAAAAAACCATGCAGTCTAGCCATACTCTTTATAGCCTTCAAGAGGTCCACTCTTGCCAGAGGAATTTTTAAATGGGTAGCTGCAACCAGATTCTACTAAAATGGAGTACTTCTCAACCTTCATACCCTCCAGCAGTAGACTGGAACAAAAAAAATTGTTTCCCCTTATTTTCAACTCCCTTCAATCACTGTGCTAGAAAGCATGAGAGAATTCAAACATGAGCCGAGTTTGTATTCTGCTAAAAAAAGTAGTAGGTGAAAGAAGAAAAGGTTAGCAGAGTGAAAAAGAATGTAATGAAAACACAAGGCCAAGAAATGGAGCAGAGACTGGGCAGGAGGAATAACAAATTTAGAGAGGCTAACAGGAGGAAGAAGCAGAGAAGAGAAAAATATTCTAAATTAGGGATATGAATAGGTACCTGAGTGCCCAGTAAGCTTCACCCTTACTGGGTGATGCTTATAGTAACTGGTTAACTGGCACCCAAGAGCTGAATCCAAAAAATAATTTAAAAGCCTCACCAAACCTCCAACTCTGCAAGGTGCACTCAACCCTAGCAGTGAATGCTATTTTTATTCAGTTGTTTTAACCTTTTCAATTAAAATGAGACATTTATTTTTCTGGGACAATCTCTGCACACAAAAATCCATTTACAATGGATTAGTTGTCTATTTTTCTTGCCACTGGACATTTGCTAATTGTTCAGGATCCAGCTGTCAACAAGAGTTTGTGCTTTCCCAATGCATCTCTGATTCCTGTTTGAGCCTGCAATGAAATCATAATGCTTGTGACAATATATCAATACCCATGATGATCAAAATCAAATAAGATATTCTCTCTCTTCATGGCATGATCAAACAGGTGAGTCTCAGAGGAGCTAAGAGATGTCCTTATTTAAGCTCAACTATCTGCAATAACACCAAGTAGTCCCCACCATCTCACTGGTTCACAGCAGTAAGTATCAAGCAGCCTCTACTGTGTCTACTATGCACTACACATTCAAGACTATGGCTGGGGCTGCAACATGAGCAGGATAGTAAGGACAGGAGAGACAACTGCTCCTTACTCTACTACTGCATAACTATGATGATAATCTAGTCTCACGATGAATCCAATCTGTAAGAGTATGTCTACACTACCCCGCTAGTTCGAACTAGGAGGGTAATGTAGGCATACCGCACTTGCAAATGAAGCCTGGGATTTGAATTTCCCGGGCTTCATTTGCATAAACTGGGCGCCGCCATTTTTAAATCCCTGCTCGTTCGAACCCCGTGCCGCGCGGCTACCCGCGGCACGAACTAGGTAGTTCGAACTAGGCTTCCTAGTTCGAACTAGCGGGGTAGTGTAGACATACCCAAACTGACCAGATAAGATGATGAGCTCCTAGAACTCCTCATGAAGTGAATGGGAGCTGAGGCCATACACTAACTTACAGGATAAGGCCCTTTAAAAAAATCAGTCAAATAGCCCTTTGGTCGTTGATCTGGTCTTCATGCAGTTTCTGAATCTGCACAATCAGGAGCACTGTTTTAAATATGCCAGTCTTAAAAATCAGTAGCTACAATCATTGCCAGCTTTTTCTCCTCTGACATGCCTTATGCCTGACAGGAGACATACCTTACAGTGCACTAAACTTTGAAGAGACTGGCAGGAAGTAATCTCCTTGTAAAGCAATCATCTTTATTAACAGGGCCACTAAGATCACATTCCTATCCTGAGTTAACAACACCTGCCCTCTGAAAGGACATAGATATCCTCAGCTGGGGAGCAAAGACTACTATTGTTTCTTTGTAGCCAACGTGAACTAGAGTGATCCAACTGTAGCACATTAAATTCACTTAATTCACTAACAGCTGGTGAAAACAAAACCACAACTTACTTTCTGCGTTGCCGGATTCCTGACAAAACAAGAAAAAGAATTCCCGCCCCAACGAGGCAAAGAACAACACTGAACACGATAAGCCAGACAGGCACAGTGGGTTCAATGGGTGGTGATAAAGTAGAAGAAATCTTCAAGAACTGCAGCGTGTTGTCTGTCAGTAGGAAGGCACTGTTGATTCTGTTTCTGTTCATCCTTTAAAAAAATACAAAAAGCAACACAAATTATATATATAAAATGATACAGGTAGTAGAGTGCATCTGCCTGTCTATCTATCTGCAAGTCCGTTTGTTCAAGAACTCCTAAACAGTAAAAGCTAGGGCCACTTGATTTGGTACACAGCATCCTCTTATCCTAATATAAAGCAAGGTCAGGGTTTAGTTGTGCCAGGAGAACCAGATGCCCCAGGAAAAGAACAGTTTTCCCTAACATACAAGGGAGTGGCCAGGAGGGCTGGGCTCTGCCCTCTTGCCTGCCAGCACAATAAGTAAGTAGCCCCCTTTCCCCAAACCCTTCCCCCCCCCCCCACTCTTGGCTGCAGCCATGGGAGGAGGGAGGAGAAAAAAGGCCCCTGGCATCTGGGAGAGGGCTAGGAGTAGACAGAAAAAGGCCCCTGGAGGCTGGGGGCTGGGTAGGAGAGAAAAGGGCCCCTGGTGGACAGAGAGAAAGGGGGGAAGAGAAAATTGCCTCTGTGAGCTAGGGGCACCTGGGGGAGAGAAAAGGTCCCCTGGTAACTTGGGGGGCTGTGAGGAAGAGAAAGGGGGCCCCTTGTGGCTGCAGGGTCTGAAGGGGAGAGAAAAGGCTAATGCTGGATGGGACCTCCCACCCTGAACCCTCCTCACCCCCAACCCTCACTGCTCCCCTGGGCTCCCGC